CCTTGCGTAGGTCGAATACTGGAACTAAAATCATCTAGTAGGCTTTATTTAACCCATTTCCTTGAAATTGATCTTTTTTCAATATTTTAATAGAGAAGTAAACAGTATTGTCAAAAACCAGAGGAGCCTAACGATTCAAAATTTCACATTACATTTGCTTAAGTGGTTTAGGACTGGAATACTTGTTCCTGTTCAAGAGGTTCAAATGGTTGATACAAATTCTTTATTGCGGCTAACGTTTCGGTGCCTTCGACTTCTTCAGAGCCGCAACGACTCCAGTTCCGTGTCCATAGTTGCTCACTCTTGCAATATAAGCTTCGCTGTCCACTCGAGTCGAACGCAGTGAATTGCATCCCTGCTTGCATGAAGTGACTGTGTTCAGCAGTGTCCTTAAAATGTACGGAAAGCATCTATGCATTCCACATAGATAATTAAGATTTCGTTTTTCTTTCGAGATTTATATCTACAATGGATAGATTCATTTTTTCTACCACTACTCCGACGTTAATGTAGGCAGGATATATTCAAAGTCCAAAATTGAAATGACGATTTCATAGTGATCGTACCNGTTTTTTACTGAGTATTTTTTATGAATAAGTGACTGCATTTTCCCACAAAATCAGTCGAATTTCTTGCATGATGCAACTTCTTTTGATGTTGGGCCTCCTGTTAATGGTGGTTGTAGTGGTATGAAATAATAACGAATAATAATAAACGAAAAATATGTGAGTAAATAAATAAAAACCACGTAGAACTACATGGAAAATCATATCAGTAAAATGTGTAATGAACTGTGAAATCACAAGGTACTTACACAGCTGCGCTTCTTCTGCAACCAGCACTGCTGACATTTTCACCAACTGTGCCAGTCTACATCTGCGCATCCTTTCCTCATTCAGACCAATGCCGTATACCACCCTTCGGGTCTACGCCTTCATTTGACCATTCTCCGACTCTGCGACCATTCCAGGTCTACTCGAAGCAGTTATTTTATTTTGACTTCGGAAACGACGATTGTAGTAGTTGTTGCCTCTTCTTGTGTTACTGTGCTTCAGTGCCCTCCACATCTGTAATAGTCTCAACATCATTGGTATCCACATCCTTGAGAAACTCGTTTACTTTAGACTGACTATTACAACGCGGATGAAAGCGTCGATCCTGTCTTCTACTGTGCACTGGCATTCTCTGTCATTCATCCACATCGTTTGTTGATTTTGCGTGATCACATTTGGCTACACTTTTTTCATCAGTGGCGCCGTTTTCAAGCAATAAGTGATATCGCGGTGGGTGAAAACGTTACAAGAGCACACTCTGGTACCTAGAAGATCTCACGTTCCCATCATTTGGTTCCGTAACATCCGATGCCTCTGGGCCCTTACTTACACGGGCAATATCGAATTCTACAGGTCATCACAGCCAATGTTGGCGGACAAAATCTTNAACTCGTTTACTTTAGACTGACTATTACAACGCGGATGAAAGCGTCGATCCTGTCTTCTACTGTGCACTGGCATTCTCTGTCATTCATCCACATCGTTTGTTGATTTTGCGTGATCACATTTGGCTACACTTTTTTCATCAGTGGCGCCGTTTTCAAGCAATAAGTGATATCGCGGTGGGTGAAAACGTTACAAGAGCACACTCTGGTACCTAGAAGATCTCACGTTCCCATCATTTGGTTCCGTAACATCCGATGCCTCTGGGCCCTTACTTACACGGGCAATATCGAATTCTACAGGTAATCACAGCCAATGTTGGCGGACAAAATCTTTTCCTTTGTGACTTCGAAATAGCACTCCGGTGCACAAAAATTTCTGTCCTGCCATTTGCACGTGAAATGAGACTTACAACTACTAAATGGTGACCAAGGATGGAATACCAGATCACTCAACCTCTCAAGCCAATCTGTTTCACCTTTTTCGACTTCTGTTTCTCTTCTTGAATGCGACACCGTTCCTCATCTCGCATTCGAGTCAATCACCGCTTGTGACGATAGTTTTTGCCGTCAGTAGTCGTTGCACTCCTAATTTTCATGTTGCTTCCATCCTTCATAGCTTCGAATTTTTGCTCGTACGCACCCTAAAGATTTCCACTAGCGAATACATCCGCGAAGCAGCCGACCAATGAATTGAATAAGTCTCAGTTTGCCGTAGTTCTGGGACTTCGGTTTTGGAATTTAGCTGATTTTTCTTCTTTCCTCGAAAAACAGAATCTTGCACGAAGGAGACGATGGTCTGATCCCGTGTAAAATTTTGAGACAACGGCGACATCGGTTAGGCAAAACTTTCTATTTACTATGATGTCTATTTCGTCATGGTATTCTCCACTGGGAGACCCCCACGTCCAGCGATGAGGGCAGGCTTTTGCAATTGCGAGTTACCATGGACGGCCTTGGAAGCCATGATAAACACAGATAGCCGCTCACCCCGTTCGTTTCATTTTAATCCGCTGGTCCCAATGTGACGTTCTTCAAACGTTTTTTTTAGCCCAATGTTGGCGTTGAAGTCTCCAAGGATGACCTTGAAAAATGTGTGGTCTTCTCTGCAGAACTTCTCCAAGACCACATAGAACGCTCCGACTTTTTCTTCGTCATAGTTTGATGTCAACGCATTAACGACGAAGACTGTCAAAGCCGGAATTGATCCACGTCTTTTTAATCGTAAACGTCCGATTCGGGTTGTAAATTGTTCGAATGAATCGATGTGCATGGTCAAACTCGTGTTGACGAGAACGCCGACGCCGCCGACTCTACTGTCGCATGTTCCGAGGAACAGTTCTTCTCCGATGTCATAAACGGCGTTGAAAGGCTGGCTTCTTCTCATCTCGGCCAAGCCGATGACGTCGTACCTTATCCTTCTTGCTTGCATAAGCAAGTCTTCTATCGAGGACTCGGATGCAAGTGTACGTGCATTGTAGGCACAGATCGTCACCATAGTTCTTTGTAATCCAAGCAGCTTCTATTGCCCTAAGATTTTAGCAGCCTCTCCGTACTCGTCCTACCCAACGCTGCGAAATTGGGGCTCTTTCGGGGTCAGGGAAATAAGGCCCATTTTTTTTTACTGTGTTTAGCATTTTTGATACCCACGAATGTCTTGTTAGGCTCTGAGCGTGGGGGCTGGCTATACTCACGGTTGGCTTGCCAGACTCTCCCAGAATGGACATGGAGCTTATTTATTGGAGGCGACAGTGTCCATGTACAACAGAAAAAGTATCGCTGTGCTTTTTTCGCCTGTTGATGCGTTCTTTCTCATAAAGACGGCATTTTATTATGCATTGAAAAATGCAAGAGGTGAATTGTTGTTGACATTGCCGGACAAGGGTTCGAATGTGAAAAGCGAACCTGGGCTTCTCTGAGATGCAAGTCGATCCTTATGACGGACTTTCTGTTTCCACTGTGCCGACTTTTCCCATACCTTCTAAGCTTACGAGGGCGTACTCATGTGTGCGTGCGTGGGTATGCTGTCGTTATGTTTCGGTATGTTGTATGCCACATATGCTTTATAGCGCAGATTAAAACGGTCTGTATAGCGCATAGAGGTGGCCAACATTCCGTACATGGTCGTGCGTTCGACAACCATTCGTTCCGCTTGGTCAAATGTTTTCGCAGTCCCTTACACTCTCGCTATACTCGAAGAAGTCTTGGCTAAACTTCAATGGCGTGGATGTGGTCCATAGTACTGAATCTTTCCTTCAACCGTGCTCACAATGATGTGCTTCGTCCAGTGTTTTGTGAATCCTATTTGTCGTGACTGGAATGGTGAGTTTGCAGTCTGCAAACAACAAGAATATTGAACAATTATTGCCGATATCGTGGCGACCACCATTGTCGAACAACAACACGACCTTACTGGTCTTTAACTGAACACGAACCATGCATTCTGATATGTAACGTGTCTGGCATGTAACGTTAGCCCTCGCAAAGTAGGCATTCGTTTTGATTAGCTGTTGATTGATAGCGGCTGAGCCACAACCGCTCCGTATAAAAGGAGTGCTAGCGAGTGAAGTGCTCATTGGTCCACCCTTCTATCCGGGCGAGTCTCCTCGGTACGTCTCGAAATGGAGCGCTGAACTCCCACCAATCAGCAGTTGAAACAACAAGTTACTCGTCTGGAAATGGATACTGAGCGCTTACAGTTGGAGATCATCTGTGGGAAGAGCCATAAGACCGTGGGTTACATTGATTTTAATGAAAATTTGCTTTGCTAGGAATAAGTCATTCCACCACTTCTGTTCTAGATTCGCCTTTCCGAAGATGAGCTGGCCGCGTTGCACGGTGCTAATTCAGCTTTGGTGAATAAGCGCCGTGAATTAGAAATGAAGAAGCGGCAGTGGGAATCGAATAGACAGAGGTTTCATTTCGCTTCTTCTTAAAATGTAGGAATTTTGTTTAAAAACGAGTATTCTCGGAGTTTCCTATTGTTCACTCTTCATCGCGTCTAATTATTCAACGTTACCAAGGGAGTTTACCTACAGAGTGACATTTTTGGATGTTTACTGTTTATTGGGGGTCGAGATACTTTCACTACTGGTTGGTCGTTTCTATTTCCATATTCACTATAAGCATTTTGCGGCCCATTGTTTTCAGCACACTACTTCGCTATTTAGGGAAATGGGTGCGTCATCGATCTGTGCAAGTGGTGTTTGAGGGAACTTGGAATATCGGCGTTGAGTAGCTTTTCGTGGTTCAAGTTCGCTCTGTATAGGCTTGTAGAAAAAACTGAAGTACGACATACAAGCTTATGCTTTGAACAAATTCTTGTTTCTGGGGCTAATTCGAATCCATCCAGGGACCCATCAGCTCTCTCAAACCTCCGGGGTTGGGAAGAAGGTGCCACATCTGGAATTAAAACTATCCATTTACAATGTTTAACGTTTTGCTTCCTGCTTTCTATAATTTTCATGGCAGGTTACTAAGCGAAATACAACCACAACGTTGCTGAGATATTTGCAAAACGCTGGACCGCAGGTGTCTATGGTGGGGAACGAACGCGCTATTGTCCTTTCCGGTGAGACTATCCATTCATTCAGTCCAGATCAGCAAATTAGGATTGGAAAGAAGGTGCCAGACTTGTGTGGGTACGAAACTGTTTATCCATTTTGTTTGGGTTCCCGCAATTTGTTTTGGAATGCCTAAGAACAGTTATGGCTGCAAGCCGAACGGTCTTGGACACCATCTGAGAACATTCGTAAAGAGGAAAGTGCTCAACCAGTGGAGAAACCTGCGTGCGTATAGCTCGCACAATTTAATGGATTATGGGTGCGAAGAAGCGAGTCAACTGCTAGAACTTCTCGAACCCGCGCAGCAGGCATGGAGACATGTCACAGACATGGGCATCTTCAAGTCCCTTCAATTTTTGTTCAGAACAAACTGTTTTTTTTAAATTTCGTTAACATAAATTTGGCGAAATTTCTTTCAATACTGACTATTGACGCTACTGACCACATTTGACTTCATCCACATCTTCATTGACTATTTTGACCGTAATTTAGTCCCAGTGTATGCAAAGCATCCTCTGATTTCGAGAGTGACTTCTTCTGAAAACGAACCGTTGGTGACCGACCTGAATGAAATTCGAAAGCAGTCACTCCTAATCAAATCCATGAATGATTTTCAATTAGCATCCATTAATTCTTTAAATTTTTATTTAGAGTGGCCTGTGCTAGCAAAAAGTGCAGCAGAGACTTACCGGCTTATCCACTTTGAAGAGAAGAGTGGCAGCGCAATACTAGTTGAGAAGAAAGATGAATTGTATCGACAACTTATAAAGAGCTGGAAAGCGGGAGTTCAGATAACTAATCTTTGTGCACCGCAG